AGGAAACTGATGAAAAGCGTAGAGCACATCAAAGTGGTTTGACGCCGGGGCCGATTGAAAGGTTTCGAAAGTTTCACCCTATCGCAGGTCGCCCCACTCTCTTTCTAGTCCGATTTTAGTTACGGGCTCATTTGAATTAAGCTCGCCCGTCAATTAGCATGACTTTTACCCCTGCTCACTGTATTTCAAGGGCGCAGAACTTTCCTAGCGCCGCGTGTTGTGTGAAAGCCTGGCATGCTGTTTCCTTCCTTTTACCAGCAGCTCGTAGGAAATGGTTAATGGCCTGCGTTTGGCAGTATGGGTGGGGGGATTGGAGAGGTATTTTACGGGGAGTAGAAAAGGGGGGACGTGTGGGTGTTTGGGGGGGGGTAACAATGAGGAGGGCAGTATAGGTGACAGGTGAGTCAATCAAAATTAAAACATATGCTGCCCTACCCAAGACCAGATGCTCTGGGAGAGGGCGTGTGTGTGTTTAAGACAAAGACGGCGTGAGTTTGTGTGTTAAAACTTTGTCAAGTACAAAGTTTTTGTTTCTTAACTAGCTGCATGGGGGCTGGTTTGTGGCAGGGGAGGTGGTATATACGTAGAATTAAAACTCGTAAAAACATTGACTGCAGCCTCAGAATCACGTTTCCTTCATGACGGAAGGCTGAATGTGGCCTTTATGACGTGTGTATTGTTTTTCCTCTTTTAATGCCCATAGTGAGTTTCATAAAAACCGAATGTTGACTTAAGGCAAGACACTACAGGCAAAAACATTGTTTTTTCATGCACTGGTCAGTTTTGAGATTTTGGGCTCTTTGGCTTTTCATAACATGTTGTTTCAGACAATTCCAATAAAAACAAACAAAATACCGTTTTAAGGGATTATTTTATTGGACTTCCAAAGTGGTGCATTATTAATTTAGATAATGCATCATTTGTATATTTTAACAACATTTTAATAAACTTATGCAAAAAATGTTTGCCATTCTTAATGCAATCAATCAACGAGGGAAACATGATATCTATTAGTTTAATTGTTATTTTTTTATTAATTTTTTATTCTGTTCACCTAGAGTTGCTTGCCTTAATGCAACAGTCTTTTTTATTTAATTGATATGATTAAACTTTTAATATTAGTTAAACTAGAAAATAATTGAGTATATAAAAAAGTATTTTCTGTGAATTATCTTCATAGAATGCGACATACAATATTTTACAGTGTTTGCAAGGTAGCGTAATATTGATGTTCCTAAATAGGGATGGCTAAATAGGTTCTAAACCTAATTAATTCAGCAGCGAACTGCTTAATATGCAGATTCAAACTTTGCATTGTGGATCATTTCAGTCTGTGCTCTCTGTTTTTGGTCAAATTTATACTATACTATTAAGCTTTGGAAATGTCCCATAGACTCACAGTGATAGAATGGTAAATTGACAGTGATATCATCATTATACATGTGCATAATCAATCAGGATTATTCTTCATTTTCATATCAGATTACATACTGAATTTTGATATTTGTTGTGATAAAGGAATTGCAAATGTTGTTGATAGCAAGTGTAGCATTATGTAGCATGCATGGTATTTTTCAAGACTACTTGAAGAATATAAACAAACAATATTTTTGCAATCACGCATTTAACTTCCTACTCTCTCCAAAAAACTGTCAACATTTGGTTTTTCCAGCAATATTTCATTAGGGGCCAAGTACAAGTTCTACACTGATAGAGGACAGTCCCAACATTAACCATAGCAAGTTTGGAGTCTCTACCTCAAACTCTTTAGCGCCGAAGTTTCACTCATGTTTATGCTAATAACTTTTGAACCATAAGACACAGAAGGAAAATATTTTTTTCCTCTGAATCCTTGGCTCATGCTGAGTTGAATGAACACCAAAAGGTTTAGTTTTTTCGCTATTTTTAATTGTTCGAAAAACCTACTTTTTCGAACTCGTCCTAGACGGTTTGTCTGATTCTCACCAAAATTGGCTCAGATCATCTTCAGACCATGCTGGCAAGACATTATGGAATTCAAGTTGATTAGTCAAACTGTTCTCGAAAAGCACGCAAAAATGGATCTGAGGCTGTATCTCCGCAACGGTTTGGCGTATTGAGACCAAACTTGGTGTGTGTTATAACAAGCATGACCTGAGACTACCTGCAGTGTTTCGGCGTTGTGCC